AATTAAATCTACCACGAGTAATTAATCTACCATCACATAGAAATAAATTTACCACTGCATAAAAATAAGTTTACCGAAATAAATCTACCACTCAACAATAAGTCTACCATTTAAAAACAAATCTACCAACCACTAAATAAATCTACCATCACGTGAGCAGTAGACTTATTTGCTTTTGGCGGGAAACTCATTAATAGCAGTTTCGTAAATACATTTTTTGTTATCAAAAGAAATAAAAGTAAAATTTTTTGAAGAGTGTTTGAGTAATTATGAAACAAAAACACCAAAATCATCAAAAAAAAAAAACATTTATCAAAATTATTTTAGTAATTCTCCCAATAATTTATGTGTTACTTATTTGGGTTATTTACTCCTCCTACACATACTTATTTTTCTGTAAACAATTTATTTGTTGTTTTACCAAAAAATAAAAAAAAATTACGTGTTGTCGAAAATCAAAAGAGCTTGTTGTTGAAGTTGGGCTATGTTGTTGTGGAGTTTTAATGGGTCAGGTTTAGTAAATTGTGTCCAATTAGCAATAGGGCTTAATTAGGTTTAGTGTTGATGGGCCATGTTTAATAGCTATAATCCAATTAGCTTAATTATTCTTTGCTTATAAGTTATAATACTGCTCTAAGTGATAATTGGTTGATGTTTTTATTAGAGCTTGGCAAAAGTTTCCAACTGAAACGAACCGAAATTTTTCGAACTTGAAGTAAAATCAAACTATAAAATGAATAGTACTGATATTAAGATTTCTATATGATATATAAGACATGATTGTAACACCAGCAAGTAGTACCATATGTCCATATCAATATATATTCATGGATTCATAGAATTTGGCGACATCGTGACCTTAAGAAAGAAAAATCAACCGCTGTTTCAGATAAATATCTTTGAAATCGATGGAAAAACATTTATGGTGTAGAGGTGATTTGTGATTCCAAAATATTCATCGAATTTTCATCCGTAGTTTCTAATCAATAGTTGTGAACAAAAAAATCAACAGAGTTTTGATGCCGCAGCATGAGATTTCTGTCAGGAATTCTTACGAAATCTTGACAGTAATTCTGTCGAATAAAATTTTTTGTTTTGTCACGTGTTTTTTTGGACAAACTCTTAATTTCATTAATTAAAATTTGGAGATACATGACGAGGGAATAACATCCTCTTTAGTTGCTACAGTGAAATAAACT